AGATATGGTTTTGTGAACAATTAATATTGTTGTGCAAGGTTTTAAATGTCAATAAACTATGATTCAAACTCTAATCTTCATTTACTTTTAGATCTGGCCAATTGAAATGTTAAAATTTGTTGAGAAACATATGATTCAAAAGGGCTATGCTTTCTACAATAAGGTAAGAGTTACATGCAATTTCATGGGTGAGAATGTAGTTCATGGGGTTAAGTGCAAAAAAAATAGGGAAATATATTTTGATAGTTGCATAATTGAAGATTTTAGGTTGACAGACTAAAATCCCCAATTTGATCCAGTTGCTTGGAAACTAAGGTGAGATTGTTAGCCCTCATGGGAAGAAGAAGTGGGAGCTCTAGAGTGGGAGCTAGTATCCTGTCAACCTAACCGTGGATTTAAGGACCAAACTCTAGATTAACCAATGCTCATTATGTACTTAAGAGATAGTAAACAATAGGATTGCTTCTCTTTGGCACAATATAAATTTATATATAATTTTAAAAGATTTTAATTACTTCACTAACCAAGAACTCATTGTAAAGAAAAAATATTCTTTCATAAATTTGAACTCTTCGTTACAAAACTTTATTTAGTCTTAATAATTTTAACATTGAAGTTTAGAAAATAATTTAGTTAACTTATTTCTATTAGCTACATTTCATTTAACATACATTAATTTACTTTAGATTTGCTTTTCTTAATTAAGTTTTTATAGTTTGAATATTGTGTTTTACATTATAACCATAAGAATTTACATCTCCATGTGGGATCGATACTCAGAACTTCATTAGAGCTCTTTATTACTTGAGTGATACATATACTTGCATAATTATTAGGTTTTGCAGCTTAAAGATTTTAAAATATACAACTATTTAAATTGAAGTGATTTTTAATGTGATTTATCTATATATTTATTAATTGTGCTATTGTGTGTGTGTTGTATTATTGAAAGATATTTACAATACATACACAAAAAATACTGCATCACCCACTTAATGAAGTAGTCAACAACCAAGTTGATGGCATCCATTGACTGATAGCTATCATAAATAATACAATGATGTCCACCCTTCATTGGGAGAAAGATTATGGCTTAGAAGTTATGTGAGTTCTACTAGAAGTGCATACATAAGGTTAAAGTGTAATTGATAAATTTTATATTTTTGCATGATATCAAATGCATATTTCTTATTCTTTGGCCAGTAAAATCCTTGTCTCATTATTTTTAGTGTGAGAGCTCTACTACTAATGTGCTCCTCTTTTACATATGAATGGACTTCACGTATAGTATAATCAGCTTTGAATGTTGGAAGAAATTTAAGGCATAGACTAAAGAAAGCCTTCTTATATAGTTTGTCCCAGATGATGATGGCGACGTTGGTGACTATACAATGGAGGTGAACAACCATAGTAGCATCTTCTATAAATGCCCCTCCATAGAGGAAGGAGATGGTGGAACCCATCAAAGCTGACTTTTATTGCTCATCTACAAATAGTTTTACCCAAAGGATTAGGATAAAGCAAAATTTTCTCTCCTAAGTGCACCTTCTTTTGAAGAGACCCCTATTTTCAAAGTTGCAAGCTTGGAGAGGGCATCAGCCCAGGTGTTCTGCAACCAAAGTCGTTGGACAAGTTGATACATTTTGACAAGGGCAAAAAGCATCTTTATTAGGTCAAGATACTGCACTAGTTGTAAGTTGTGGGCAACAAAGTCCCCCTTTATTTGTGATTTGACAAAACGGGAGTTAGTGTGGATGATCATGTTTTGCACTTCACAGTCAATGATGATTTTTAGCCCAATGATGAGGGCTTCATATTATGCAACATTATTGTTGGTTGGAAAGTTTAGACATAGTTCATACTCCATGATGTCCTATTGTGGGGAAATTAGTAAAGTTCCAGCATAATGTTTAGACATCCCGAATAATCCATCAATATACAGAGTCCACTAGATTATTTTATTTGAGAAATAGGCTGCTCATCAAAGGTAAGTAAAATGCGTTAGACCACAGCGTCAGCCAGTACTTATGATTTGATGCTCAGCCAGAATAGGTAGCAATTGTTAAAATCTCTCAAATCCACTTAGTACTTAATTCAACTTTTAATGCTTTTGGTCTTTCCAGAATAGCTTTCAGGAGGCGCTAATGGTGCGGGCCTAGAAGTTTATATGTAGTCTCCTTACTAGGAATACAAGTGTTAGTGCAGTCTTGCGTGACAATGGGTAGTGACTCTTCATGTTGGAGAGGATCTTGCTAACGTAGTAGGCTGGTAGTTGGACTAAGTTTTCCTTTCTACCCAGGACATAGCTTTTCACGTGAGGTGAAATACCCATGTTGATATGATTCATCTCCCATTGCACGTTCTTAGAAAGGAGGGGCAAAAGAAGTCAAATATCTCTTGAGTTGCTCAAAAGCAGCTATGACATTCATCATTCTACTAAAAAATAAAATTTCAAGCACCCATAAATATATTTAAGAATGATGGGTGCTTTTCTCCAAAATGAGGTAAGAAGCAGGATATGGAGGCTATGCTACCATTCAAGTGTTTTGTTTGCCACAATTCCAAAATGAGTGAACATGAATCTAAATTTATTTTTGATGTGACCTAAAAGTGCACTTAGTTGAGTCGAGGCGCAAGTCATAAATACAAAGTCAGGAGTCTCTAAATGAAAGATGTGTTGGGATGTTTCCAAGTTTCTTACATGTATATTGTTGATGTACACCTCTACAATATGCCCGAGGAGATCTTTGAAGAGGTTTTTCATGAGGCTTTAATATGTCACATTAGTGTTTTTTATCCCAAATGTTATGCCCTGATATTAGTATTGACCCTCATCTATTTAGAAGGATGTGACATCCTAATCTCTCAGATTCATCTTTATCTGATTGTACCCAAGTAGACATTCAATAAACTGAGGGTCTAGAATTTTGACATAGTATCAACAAGTTAATTTATGCATGGTAAGGGAAAGCTATCTTTAGGCATGCTTTATTGAGGTCAGTATAGTTACACACATCCTCTAATGCAGCTAGCTTTCTTAACCATGAAGACATTTGCTAGCTATGCACAATGGTGTGCTTTTTGTATGAGTCTTCATTCCAGAAACTTGTTGACTTCTGTTTTGATGGCTTAAAAGTGATCTGACGTGAAGTTGTTCCTCTTTTGGATGATTGGGTTGAAATTTGGATCCATCTTTAAGAAAAGCATGATTGTCTCTAGGTCGACTCCAAGCATATCGGTTGGTGTCCATGCAAAGATGTCTTCTTTTCTTTGGAGGAGATCAAAATATTCTAGCCTTTGCTCGTTGGAGATTAGGAAAGAAAGTTGCACGATTCGTGAAAGGTTCTTATTGGAGAGTGTAACGTGGATCAAGTCTTCTATTGGGGAAGCTCATTTTGATGCATCCTCATCTCAAAGATCAGAGCTTTTGATGTTGAGCATTATAGATGAGTATGGTTGGGCTTACCTGAGATAGAAAGATTATTTTATCTGCTAATCTCCTTGTGTGACACTAATCCTTATAGGGGTTAGAAAAATGTTCCTGAGGTGTAGCACTGAAGTGATGATACCAAAGATGGAATGTAGGTGCCTCTTGAAGATGGCATTATACACCAATTTTGACCTAATTTTAATGAACTAGATGGAGTGAGTCGTCTATCAAGAAAACTCTATCACTACAATAGGAAGATTTATCATTCTTTTGGCTACTATTGATCGATTGTTACATCTGTATAGTGGTATAAAAGTTGCTCAAAGATTCTCTCTGATTAGGCCCAAACTAAGGAAGGTGGAGTAGATAAAAATATTTACAGAGGTACCAATATTAACTAGGATCCTCTTCAAGATGTAGGGTTCACCAATTTCTGTTTCGATACCAAGAGGGTCTTGGTAAAAGACTTAAACTTCTTCCAAGTTAGAATAATCAGAAGTGATGGGCTCGAAATGTGGCTTCTTCTACACTATTTCTCTAGGTATAGAGATAAGGTCATGTTCAGATAGCAGCGGACCTCCAACAATTATTTAAAAATTGTCAATGACTTGATAACTCCCAAGTGTGAGCATTATCAGTACTAGTTTTTGTTCTACACAAACTTAACGAAATACCCCTACAAAACCAAGCTTTCAACTTCTTCCTTTAGCTATTTACATGCTTCAGTGCTGTGTGTGTGGCTTCGATAGAAGTTACAGTATTTCTCCTGATTTCCTAAGTAGGATTTCAGAGCGTGGGCCACTTAACACTCTTCATCATGGATGGTCATCAAAATGTTGATGTGTTCAATAGTGTATACTCTTTCACTGATTGAGGCTCACATCGCTAGTTTAGAGGCCAATGAGGGAGGTCATGATTCCCTTGATATTCAAACTTTGTACACTGTGAGTTTTAATTGGCATCATCGATGTTGATCTTGTGCTTGCCCTTATATTACTCAAATTTCTCCTTTTCTGAGTTGATGGCCTCATAAGCATTGGTTTGTGGTTCAACATGATGGAATATATCAACATAAGAGCAGGTTGTCTCCTGCATCAATGATGAGTAAAAAGTTCTATAGTGAAGCTCTCAAAGGAGACTTGTCTTAGCAATTCACGATCTACCCTTAGGACCTAGAGAGCCTCTGTAAAAAACCAACAAAAGTAATCCTTAAGCAAATTTCCCTTATTTTGCTGAATTTATCATAAATTGAATTTCATGATCTACCCTTAGGACCTAGAGAGCCTCTGTAGAAAACCAACAAAAGTAATCCTTAAGCAGATTTCCCTTATTTTGCTGAATTTATCATAAATTGAAAGAATCGTTGATGACCCTTCGATTTGCAATGAACGGCTCCATGAATAGTCTTGAAAGCTCATTAAAGGTGTTGATAGTGTCCCCAAGGAATAGAGTTGAATCACGTATAACATTTAAAAGTAATAAATAAAAGTTATGTGATAAGCAAGCAAAATCTCTAAAGATAGTGGACTTTAAAGTAATAAAAAAAACAGAACTAAAGTGCCAACCGCCCTTCAATATATCCCCCCAAAATTCTTTCAGCAAAGTAAACATGATATTCCAACCATCACATCCTATCAACAGACCCACAATTATCAGACCAAACCAAAAATAATATAAAAAAATACATCAACTTCCATTTGGCTGCTTCGCCTGCTCCAGCATCTGCACCACCTCCCTCATTGTCGGTCGCTCCACACTCCTTTCCTGGACGCACAACATTCCGACGAAGAACACCTGCATCGCCTCCTCCAAAGCAATATTCGCCAACCTCCTGTCCCAAATCTTCACCACCGCCTCCTTATTCCAGTTTGTCATCATCTTCGCCCACTGCACAATATCCACACCTTCCTCCCCGAAATCTCCTACCGCCCTCTTCCCGCTAATCAGCTCCAGCAGCACAACTCCGAAGCTATATACATCGCTCTTCTCATCCACTTTCAGCGTGTACGCATACTCTGCATTAAATAAAGTAAAAATCAGTTTTTTCTTTCCATGAAAGGCTTGGATCCCAAGCAGGATTTCTAAGAGTCAGTACTGTGCTGAGCTAATGATGATTTTGGGTCAAAAAATTGAAGATTAAGGCCCCATCACTCATGAAATTGATTTTTATAAAGATAAAGCTGAATTCTTTGGCCCACCTGATTTGTGTATTGAAAGAATAGCCTTGACTGTTAATGCAGAATACTTATGATCAGTTCAAGGAAGACCATGCAGGCCGATATATGACCATGTTTATGTAAATATATGAGGACAATTTCTGGTGCAGTGCTTTGGAAGAAGAGGAACAAATATTTTGTTTTGGGATATAGTACATGTCGAGAACTTTTGCGTCCTATTGTAAGTTTGTCTACTTTATCAGAAAATAAATTTTGGCTGTTTATGAAATGGCTTGAAATATGACAAAACTGTATTATTTACAGTTCCTCACTCCGAACAGTTTCAGATTTTGTTAGAGTGATTTTTTTTTCTTTCCTAAATTGCAGTCCGAAGCACCACACTGACCGAACATCCGATTTATCAAACTTAATATTTTACAATCGTAATTTTTAAAATATATAAATCATCTAAAAGCAAACAAATAAGACATAAAAATTATTCCAGTATTTAAGTACGAACCCCTACTTTTTTTACTTGTAGTTCAATTGATTTGAACAATATTAGTTCATCTTCTATATAATTATGAGCATGCGAATGCGATCAGGCTTTTTAATTATTAAAGAAACACTCATGAACCAATATATGGAGGAGCTCACAACTCATGATTAGTCTGCACAAGTATCATTTATAAGACTTTTAACTATTAATAATTTAAATATAGAATTTGTGTCAATAAACAAATATTTAAATGCCACTGAAACACCTTCGTTCAGACTCATATGAGGCTCTAATTGAACAGCAAAATCCTATGAGAAAATCCTCATAAATAATTAACCACATTCATTCATAATTTTATCCCAATGTATAATGTTATGGTGCCTGAGTGTGAGAATTTCTTATATAAATTTGAAAACTCCATTCAAAGAGAATCCGAATTTTAAAATTAAACAAAATAAAAAAAAAATTACCTGGAGCAATGTAACCATATGACCCTGCAATTGCTGACATGCATTCCGAAGATCCAGAATCCCTCAAGAACTTTGCCAGTCCGAAATCAGCAACATGAGCTTCAAAACTTTCATCCAGCAATATATTGTTCGATTTCACGTCCCTATGAAGAATCAGTGGACAGCAGTCATGGTGAAGATAGCACAATCCCCTTGCTGCCTCTGTCGCGATCCTCAACCTCATCTCCCACCTCAGATACCCGCCTCTCTTTCCATGAAGCATTTCTCCTAAGCTCCCATTAGGCATATATTCATACACGAGAAGGTTTGTCTCTTTGTTCCTGCAAAAAGCAAGCAACTTTACTATATTTCTATGGCGGATCTTCCCCAACGTCTGTATCTCCGCTGTGAGCCCGTTGTCGTGGGTCGATCCTTGGCTTATTCCTAGTAATCGCTTAACGGCCACGTGCTCGCCGCTCGGCATTGTGCCCCGGTAGACAACTCCGGCGCCGCCGCTACCAATGACGCAGTTTTCCTTCAGGCAGTCGGAGATGTTGACTGCAGAGAAGTTGAGCTTGCCGAATGCGGTGAGACGCCATGATTTAGAGCTTTTACGGATAATGGAGCGAGTTTTGACGGCAACTGTGGCTGCGAAGATAACTGAGCAGGTTAGGAGGCCAAGGGCGAAGAGTAGCTTGAATTTTCCAGGGAGTGATGAGTTGATTCCATCTCCGCCGTGTTGGTTTGGTGGGAAAGGAGCGATTTTTGAAAAGTTGCAAGGGTTTGTAACCAGGCCGCAAAGCAGTGAATTTCCGGTGAAGGAGGAGGAGTTGAAGTAGGCGAACTGGCCGGAGTCAGGGATCCGACCGGATAAGTTGTTGTGAGAGAAGTCGGCGACTGTTAGGCTCTTCATGGCAGCGATTTCGATTGGAATCCTGTAACTAAGCTGGTTTGAAGAAACGTTGAGGTAATTTAGGATTCTTAGCTGGGAAATACTAGGAGGTATCGCTCCGACGAGCATGTTCTGGCTTAAATCGAGATAAGTGAGTTGAGAGCAGTCACCGATCTCCGGTGGGATCTCGCCGGTGAAATTGTTGACACTAAGATCGACTTTAAGCAAATGTCTCAACTTTCCGAGCTCCGTTGGGATTGCGCCGGCAAGCTGGTTTCCGTTGAGAAGGAGGATTTGGAGTGCCGAGAAGTTGCCCAAGGAAGAAGGCAGGGGACCAGAAAGACGGTTGTTTGATAAGTTAAGCTGGCTGAGCATCGCCGGAGTTCTCCATTGGTCGTTGAAGATTCTCCCGGTGAGGTAATTGCTCTGCAGCTCCATCAGTGACAGTTCCGGCAAATAAAGGAGGCCACTTGGGATTGGTCCGGTGAGATAGTTCTGACCAAGACGGACTCTTGAGAGCGTTCTGCACTCACCGAGATCCCCCGGCAATGGTCCAAACAAGAAGTTGTTGAGAAGGATCAAGATTGCGAGCTTGCGGCCGGCACAGAGCGCCGGCGGAATTTCCCCAGTGAGCTTGTTCGATGAAAGGTCCAATTCCCGGAGATTCCCGTTGCTGCCGAGCTCTGGCGGTATCACCCCTGTCAAGTTGTTGTGCCAGAGCTTCAGCACCTGAAGCTCCGGCAGTTCGGAGATGAACTTAGGGATTTCCCCATGAAGCCTGTTGATAAAGAGGTGAAGGAGGTTGAGCTGTCGGAGTGCTGAAAGCTCCTTAGGGATCTCTCCGGTGAGAGCATTGTTTGATAGATCGAGGAACTTAAGCCTGGTAAGGTTTCCAAGCTCCGGCGGAATTACGCCGGTGAGTTGGTTGGTTTGAAGAAACAGAGTATCGAGCTTTTCAAGCTTACCCAATTGGGGTGTGATCTCGCCGTCAAGCCCACAGCTGGAAAGATCGAGATGAGTCAAATTGAACAATTTCCCAATCTCCATTGGTATTCCTCCGTCGAATTGGTTGTAGTATCCTAAAAACAGCTGTTTGAGAGAAGTCAGGTTGCCTAGCTCTGGTGGTATTCGGCCACCGAGATCATTTCCGGCAAGCGATAGAAATTCGAGTGCAGCGAAATCGCCGTAGGCCGCTGGAATGGTGCCTGAAAAGTAGTTCCCGCCGAGATCTAAGTGTCGAAGCTTTGAAAGCTTGACGACTTCAACCGGTAAAGGGCCGTAGAAATTGTTGTCGTAAGCGTCAAACACCTCGATGGACGACATGGCGGCTAAGCTCCAGCTTGCGAGGGAGCCGTTTAGCTGGTTGTTTGAAATGTTGAGGAAGCGGAGGCGAGGGAGATGGGCAATGCCTGGAGGGAGGTGGCCGGAAAGAGAGTTCCCAGCGAGGGATAGATGGGCAAGAGATTGCAGTCCTGCGATCGCCTGAGAGATGAAGCCGGAGAAGTTGGAGTTAGAAAGGTCGAGAGAGAGGATGAAGCGGCCGGCAATGTCGCATTTAACCCCGGCCCATGAGCAAAAGGAGGAGGTGTTTGATGAGTTCCAGGAAGAGAGGAGGGGGTTTGGGTTGACGAAGGATTGCTTGAGAGAGAGGAGGATGGATGCTTGCTTGGCAGGGGAGGGAGGAGTGAAAGAAGAGCAGGAGGGGAGAAAGGAGGAGAAAAAAAGGAGTAAAATGATAATGGCCATGGAGAGAGACAGAGACAGAATGAGCAAGGAAGAGGAAGATATGGGAGATGGAGTATAACAGGAGGAGAAAGAGATAAAAATGGAGGTGGGGGCATTGGGCTTGGCTTCTGGCTTGCTTTCTCTTCTTTTGTTGAAGAGGGGAAGGAGAAAGCAAAAGCGTTTTGAGTGCTCCTACTGCGGAGCAAAAGTGGAGGGAGATGTTGAGGGCGCTGCCGACCGTTAGATTTGAGGGAGAACTTCGCTTTATTTGATTTTTAGGAATAATAGTGTAATAGCTATTTTTTTATTATTTTGGATACTTAAATAAAATTAATCTTAAGATGAACTTTTGTAGGGTTAGAGTTGGATTGAATGAATATGCAAATTGACAAAACCAGAAGGGAAGATAGTGATGGACATCCAAAAATGTTTTCGAAGGCTTCTCTAGAATTTTATTCTTTGAAAGTGCTCCTTTCTTTTTTTTCATAGCCTTCTTGCTCAATCTATTTGCTCTTCACAGGGTTCTTCGTTCTAATTATCCTCGATCTTGAGCTAGATGTATTTCAACTCCATACAAGAAGTCTTCCATTTATTTGAACACTATAAAATCAAATAAAATTTTTCTCCTTAAGAATAACACAACATTTTTTAACAAAAATAGAGCAAATATTTCTTTTACTCTGCACAATCAAGATCCCAAAACTCAAATTAACTCACTAGAATCAAGCTTCTACTCATGTGAAATTCACTACTACTAGTTGAAAGGGTTACTTTTCACTGCCTAATGCCTTCTCATTAACTTTTTTTAATATAATATATATGACTTCATCTCAATTTTAGAGACCCTAAGGAATTGTAAGAAGCTCTTATAAATTTTTCACAGTTGTTCACTTAACAAGCAACTATTTTATAGGAATCTTTTAGATGAAATTAAGAAAGTTTGAAAGCTCAACTAATAAGAATCATCTTATTCTGAATGATGGTTTCTTCCCTTCTAAGCTCTCATTATAAGAAAATTATGATATTGCTTATATATGATTTATGTTCTTCCTTGACATATTGCTCATCATTTAGAAATAGTCTACAAACTTTAAACATATAAAAGATAATCCACCTCCCATCCTCAACAAAAAAATTTGTACACGCTTCTTTATATTATTAGAATTATATCAATGTCTAAAAAATTTCGTGAAGATAGCGGCCCAAAGAATGGGTGTGTCTGGAGGCAATGCCCCGAAAGGGAGGGCGTGATGTGGCTACGACGGCCCAAAAGAATGAGTGTACCACACGGGGGTATTGATTCAAGTGGTGAGCGTACCTAGAAGACATTGGCTCAAAAAGTGTGGGCATGTTGTGGAGGCATTGGTTCAAGTGTGCGAGTGTGCCGCAAGGAGCATTGAATTAAGAGAAAGATGATTCTCATTTGAGAGAATCATTCAATTGGGGTCAATGTATGAATGGGCACTCAAAAATGCAACTCAAGCATGTGATGGCGACTATGCAACGTATCATGCAAATGACACTACTACACGTGCAAAGCATACACTATACAAGTTAAGTTGGTTGCTCAACCTGTTGGGTTGAGTGGGGTGGTCAACCCGGGACAATGTAATCGACGAGCTCTGTTGGGCTGAGGTGGCCAACTGAACCAGAGTGATCAGTGAACCAAGCCAGGGTGATTGGTCAACTGAGTCGAGGGAGCCGGTCGAACCAAAGTTATTGGTCGACTGGGTCGAGGGAGCCAATCGAACCAAAGTGGTCAGAAGACTAGGCCAGGGCAGTCATTCGTACCAAGATGGCCAGTCGATCAAGCTGAGGCGACTGGTCAAACCCAAGTGATCGGTCGACTAAGCTGGAGCGGTCGATCGAACTATAAAAAAAGTATATCGTGTCGGGGCGGTCGGTTGAACTAAAGTTAAATGTGTTAAATATAACATACAACATATATCACACTAAAACATACAATGTAATGCAATCATCATGGACAATAGCAAACCATTCCCACCCTAATGTACTCACATAGGAACCTATGGTTTAGCTTTTGGATATGTGGCATAGCTGCGTCTGGCCTTAGCGATGAATTTGGAGAACTTCGTCCTCTCATTTCTAGTAGGAGAAGTTTTTCATTGTTTGTAGGACAATCTAGCTACAAAGCTTTTATAGTCCTACAATCCCTCCTCAATCTTATAGAATGGCCTAGCTACAAAGCTTTTCTCATTCCTTAAGATTGAAATATTACAACCCCTCCAAAGAAAGTTGGAAGTGCCAAAGCCGTGGGAAATTAGGAGCCTGACTCATTAGGATTTAGGTATAGAATTTTCAATGGGAGTTCACTTGGCTTCATAAAGAATTTGGCCACACATGTGCTTCCTAACCTTCAGCTTCCTCTGGAAAGTAAATGACCAATCATTAAGCCGACTAAAGTCCCCTGACCAACTAGTCTAACATGCGCGACCAAAACCCACTATTACACCACAAAGCTGACCAATCAAAAGGTGTATGGCTGGGCCAATTAGTATCATTTGACCAATCGAATCGTCTGATAACATGCAATTAATTGAGTTGGATGATACTAGGTGGTCGATCAGACTTTCCTCTCGTGGGCGACCAAACCCACAAATACCTAGCAAAATCTATTCCTAAGGCTAGCTAAGGATTCATGGAACCTCATCAACATGGCATTTGATGTTGTGTTTCTTCACATATGATGAAGCTCTTATATTGGTAAGAGAGATAATGTTTCAGCTAATTACTGAGCTCCGGTGTAGTTCTGATGAAGCTCCGGTAGTCCTTCCCAATGTTAGGATGAAGCTCTCCAATGATGTAGCAGAGAAGAAGTCTTACTCATTGCTAGCCACACTCCTCCTCACGAAGCTCTCCTCACACACTTAAAATATTGTGGAGGAAAAAGCATATTTCTTTTTATGGAGGATGGAGAAGGAGAGGAAGAAGAAGAGGAGTGTTATAAGAAAGATGCCCTTAGTCTCACTTCTCTCTAGCTCTTAACCTTAAGGCCTTCAAGAAGAAACCCTAAGAATAAGGAAGAAGAAGCTCCAAGGTAGAAGAGTTCAGCTCTTGGAGAAGGCAAAAAATGTTGAAGGTTGTTGATAAAGGGGAATGAGATGAAGTGATGAAGTTAAATCAGCCTCCTCATGCAAAATCCCCAAAGTGCCTCTTAATTAAGCCACAAAAGGCTAATCAAGGGTACTTGATACATGCAAAAAAGGGTTAATCCCTCTAAGCTTTTCATAATTTCAAGATGATCTCACCAAGTCTAAGAAGGGCCTAAAAATTTTGCTCCAGGTGGCACACCTCCCTAAGGCTGTCAGGCTAAATTTTAAAATATTAATGGGTGAACGTAGTCATGCTGAGCTCAGGCATGGTCACACTGCTCTTCTTGTGAGGTCATCATGGTCACACCAGCTCCCTAACCAAATTTTGTCAGGCTCACTATCTTGCGTGTGGTACGCTACCTTGGTCTTTGCTACCCCGAAGGTAGCCTTTGCATGACTACGAGAAATCCACATGGCCACAACATCCTACGTCGTAATTACATTGTGGGCTCTATCTTGTAGCATGGTCATGCTATCTTCAAGTGTGGCTACACTGAAGGCAGCCAGCTCAACCATTATAGGAGGGGTCAATGTTTGTCGAAATTTTATCGTTTGAATTAATTTGAAAAAATAATTTTAATTTAATATTCGTAATTACATTGTGGGCTCTATCTTGTGGCATGGTCATGCTATCTTCAGGTGTGGCTACACTGAAGGCAGCCAGCTCGACCATTATAGGAGGGGTCAATGTTTGTCAAAATTTTATCGATTGAATTAATTTGAAAAAATAATTTTAATTTAATATTTATATGATTTTTTACTTTGAAAATATTATTTTAATTTGAAAAATGAAACTAAGAGATCTCATACATTTTAATAGTTTAAATAACTAAGCATAATACTACAAGCAGTGCACCTACATTCAGGAATAGACATATTACTTGCCAGTAGGCTCGATTAAAAATACCAAAAAAAATTATGACATTTGTTTGGCCTACAAATTTTTTATGTGTGACCGATAAGTTCCCCTACCTAATAAAAAATTTGATAATGTTATTACTTAGGTTCCAAGCTCTCTATAAGAGCAGACCTCTATAGTTAATTATATCATGAGTGACCGAAGTCACTTAAGAAAACTCTCGATAATGATCAGAGGTCTTTGTCTTCAAGATTTCAAAGTTTATGATTTCAAGCTTGGACAAAGAAAAAAAAGGGGGAGAGGACCAAATAGGAACAACTATTTAGGAGTCAAAATGAGGGAAGATTAGGGGATGACACAAATTCTGAGGAGAACTTTGGTGACTTCCCAAACTATCCAATTATTTAGCTTCAATTTTAAAGATGAAATTATTTGATGTTTCAATCCTGTCAATTTATTATTTAGGGCTTACATCTGCATGATATCCGATTATGCAAATAGCTTGGAAGATAGGAGGGGTTATGTCCTATCAAATACGACCTAGGATTACTAAGAGAGTTAGGACTTATGATGCACGATATGATTGTGAATGAGCCTACAAGATGAGGTGAGGACTTATGCCGCACTAGGCAGACGGCATAGAAGTCCTATGGATTAGTTATTCAAGTCTAAAGAATGGTTTTGCTGATGTAGACCTTGTTTGATGTCGGGTCTTGATTCATCCGTGGAAGTTTTTCGCCATCTTCTTGCAGCTTGTTCTTAACTTAATGATTTCAGGTTTAGGTTTTGGTGTAAACATGCAATTAATGTTGGGTCTCATGGCCTGTCGCTTGCGTTCTATCATATTTCCTACTATTGTCTACTTTAGGGCCCTTGCAAGTATTATAAATGCTAAGTTAAAAATAATAAAAAGATGTAATAAATATGCAGTAAAGCCTGGTAAATGTAAAATAAACATGCATACCTGAGATTCTTACCGCTGCTTTAGGGTTAATACAACATCATATAGTAATGTGGCAGAGATTTAAAATGAGTCGCGAAAAAATCAAGGAAAGCTTAAAAAATTTGTAATAAAATCGAGTGAATGAAAAAAAAAAATACGATGTCACATATAGAAGATCGAGGCAGGGTATAAGAATTTAAGTTTGGGGTGGGCTTGGAGTTGGGTTGTGTGCTTTATAATACAACCTTAGATAGAAGAACCATCAAACAATCTAAGGAGGGCAATTTTTGGCCCAAGGAGGGCAATTTTTGGCCTCAATCAAAGTGATTCACAA